TTTTGGGGTGGTTTTGTTTAATGGGTAATTTCATAATTTCAACCATTTCGTACACTGATTTTTTCATAAGCTGTTAGTTACTTCTTGATATTTAACTATCTCCCCAAACCACCTCTATGAGGTGACTGACATACAGAACCTCTGGGTACTGATGAGCCCTTCCCTGCTAGCTCTCTATATCACCATGCCTTCTTTATACCTCTTGCAGCATGGTACAACACAACACTGTGGATGAACAAGCTGATGGACACATCATGAGAGTGGCCAAATGTAAGGGACCACTCATGGTAGGTGACAACCAAAAATAAGAAACCTTTATGGGACCAGCAGTTAGCATAATGGCTATGTCGCTGGACTCCCATATAGTCGACTGCGGTTTGAGTCCCGGACTTGGTGGCTTAAAACTCATGCCGGGCATGTGTGTGTGTGTGTGTGTTTTCGTGCGTGCCCAAGATCCCAAGAGGAGAATGGAGGAGAAGGGATTGGGGCATGGCCATCCCCCCTGGAGGGTGATTTCTCGCTTTCTGTCTCTCTGCCTCTCTCTGTCTCTCTGCCCACGTGCCCTATAGCAAAAAAAAAAAACTCAAAAAAAAAAAAAAAAAGAAAAAAGAAACCTTTGTAATAAATGTAATTTCTAAACAACTAAAAAAGAAATGCTAATTTAAGGACATGATTTTGTACAAGATTGCCACATTAAGCACCATTCAACATGAAGTAACAACTTTCCAGAGAAGTAATAAAAACCTCTTCTAAAATGTTACACCACTTAAGAACTCCTGAGAATTCAATAAAATATAATAATGTGACCAGCAGATGGCGAAGGCGCTGGAATTCCCACAAGGCCAACTGTGGTTCAAGTCCTAGACCTGACAGCTTGCTTTCTCTCTTTCTCTGGCAAAACTCATGTGAAATAATAATGATAAATTAATGAAATAAATAATTCTTTTTAAAAAATGACGATGCAATCAAAAATAGTGAAAGGTCATGAAGAGTGTAGTTAGCTGCTCTAGTACTCCAAGGACAAATCTTTTTGAACTGGTTCTAAGGTCCCTCGTAGAGGAAAAGTCCCACAGTTCCTATGCCCCACCACCGATGATCTGAGAACCAAATAAATTCAAATAATTGGATGTCACTCCTGATCACCTTTCCCATAGCGTGGCACGATGTACTGCAAAGAGCACAGACTTCAGAATATAGACCCTTGGAAAATCAGGGCTCTGTTCACGTAGACCTGTCGGTACTCCTGGGCAGGAACATGATGCTGGCTGGAAAGGCTGGGAGAAGGATCCCAGCATGAGACTTTGTTGAGGGTATGTCTTTCTCTGTCTCTCTCCCTTATGAAAGAAAAGATTTTTTTTTTTTTTAAAAAAAAGGTTCAAATGTATGTCAACTCTTAAAAATAGAAATGCTAAGTCTTCAAGCAATGGGGAGAAAAAACATTCCTGGAATAAAGAAAGAGCTGTGGCCTCAAAGAAAAGTCTCTCTTCCTGTAAAACATAATCAGTCAATGGCTTCTTTGCTTTTGGGGAACCAAGCCTGCCCCACCCAAATCCTGACCCTGGTTACCTACACTTGAACCAGTAGTACGTGACTCAGAAATGATCTGATTACACCATCCTATTCACCTTATATCCACTGTGACGACCTGCTGTGTGCTTAAGTAACTGAGAACTAGATTACAAAAGCCTTGAATCCCAACTTCTGAAAAAAATGTACATGGGTTATTAAGTCAACTACTTTACAATTAATTACTCAAAGGGATCATTCTCCCAATGTTCTGCCAATTAAAATGAAACATGAACATAAGGATGCCTGACTAGCTCAGTTGATAAAATGCTGTCCAAGGGTCCTAAAGCAATGCTCTAAATCCTGTGAGGGGAGGAATCTGTCAGTCTTGTACATTCCTTAGTGCCTGGCACATAGTGGCTACTTACAATCCACGAAAGATTTGTTATACCCACATTCATAGCAGCATTATTCACAATAGCCAGAAGGTGGAGGCAACCCAGGTATCCACTGATGGATGAACAGATAAACAAAATGGGGCATATATACACACAGACAATGGAATTCAGCCTTACAAAGGAAGGAAATTATGACACACCACCACCACATGAATGAACCCTGAAGACATTATGCAAAGCCGGTTACAGAAGGACAAATACTGTATGATTCCATTTTTGTGAGGCACCTAAAGTGGTCAAATTCATAGAAACAGAAAGGAAAATGGTGGTTGCCAGGACTGGTGGGGAGGAGAACTGAGAAAGGAAGGGAACAGGAATTCATGTTTAATGAATAGTTTTGAAAGATGAACAAACTCCTGGAGATGGACAGTGGTGATAGTGCACAACACTGTGAATATACTTAATGCCACTAAACTATACACTCAAAAAAAATCACTGAAGTGGTAAAATTGCTATGCATATTTTACAACTAAAAGCAAACAAACAAACAAAAATTAAATTTATTGAGGCCTAGCCACAGTGGCATAGAACATAGGTTACTACAATGAAATGCTGGAGCCGAAGATGGGAGAGAGACGCAGGTTCAGATCCCCCGTCACCTCAACACACCAGGGTGACCTTTTGCTGAACAAGAGGCTGGCAGAGGGTTCCAGATGTAGGGAGGCCTATGTAGATCTGTCTCTCTCAAGAAAGAAACAAAGAAGGAAATAAAGAACTTTTTTCAAAGTTACTGAGAGAATAAATGAAGAAATAATAAGTACTAGTTTCATCAACCACTAAATGTTATACCTCATACCTCTTGATTTTTTTGTTTGTTTTTGAGAGAGATTTTTGCTATAGGGCATGTGCGCTCATGAGAGAGACAAAGAGACAGAAAGTGAGAAATCACCCCCCCCCAGGGAGGATGACCACAAAGCAATCCCTTCTCCTCCCAGGATCTTGGGTGTACGCGTGCCCAGCATGAGTTTTAAGTCACCAGGTCCAATACTCAAACCATTATCTACTACGTGGGAGTCCAGTGACATAACCATTATGCTCGTGTGCCACCGCTCGATTTTTTTTTTTTTTTTTTTTCTTTTTGGGAGAGGTTTTTGCTATAGGGCGTGTGCGCTCGACAGACAGAGAGATAGAAAACGAGAAATCACCCCCTAGAGGGGATGGCCACGGCGCCATCCCTTCTCCTCCATTCTCCTCTTGGGATCTTGGGCACGCATTCATACGTGCCCGGCCTAAGTTTTAAGCCATCGGGTCCGGGATCCGAACCACAGTCGACTACGTGAGAGTCCAGCGACATAGCCATTATGCTAACTGCTGGTCCCTGGATTATTCTTTATAGATATTTCATTCTCCAGATTTCATAGATGAGGAAATCGGAACTTCGGGACCTTGACAGATCTGCCACTATATATGCAGTGACTTCAAAAGTTTGTGAAAAATATCAAATTAAACTACAAATCTATTTTGGTGCAAAAAAATCTTGAAATTCATGCATAATTTTTATATAACATGTACTTTCCATAAACTGTTTTTTTCATTGTCAGAGGGCACGTGCACTTGCCGAGAAAAAGAGAAAACAAGCATCCCCCACTGGGGTGTGGTCATACTCTTCTCCATTTTTCTATGCTTTTGGGATCTGGGGCACTCACCTTAGGTATTTCTCAAGCCACCAGCTGGCCATCTGAGATGTGCTCCCTTAACCACGAGGCTAAGGAGCTGGCCCTCCGTACACTTTATTCAGACCTCTCATATACCATGCGTGTGTGTATACAAACATACCACACGACGCATACATAGTACATACTATACACTGCTGTTTAGCATTAGTGGTATATTTTATCCAGATGTTTGTAAGCCCCATGATGACATGGACAGGGCTACACCATAGATCCTTTTTCTACACCCAGGACCTAACTAACCACTCACAGCCCCCTTCAATGTTTTGACAATCCCATTAGTCTGAGCATCTGTGTTACAGAAGATATAACTGTGTCCCTTTCTCCACAACACCCTAACTTGGCAGCAATAAAATGGGAGGACTTAAGGAGACAGTTCTATCCTGGAGGTACCCAAACACAGCCCGGGCAATCAACCACTCACCAAAGCTTACTCTGTGCCAAGAGCTGGGGCTCTTGCTTGAGATCAAGCTCAAGCAATTTCATTTTTGAGGGAGCTGAGTGTACTGCAATAGATAAAGCTCAGAAACAATTACAACAGCATAAAGATAAGTGCTTAACGAATAGATTTGAGTACACAAATCCAAGTTCATACCTAGTAACCTAGAGTTCTGGAAAATGTGGAAAGTATCTTGAGAAGAGGAAGTTTCTGACCTAGATCCTTAAAGGATGAATAGTTTTCCCAGCACCAGAGAAAAGACCAGAGCATGCAGCAGGAAAAAAACAGCAGCCTGGATGTCACAAGAATACAACCATTCCTAGCCTTGCCATTTTATACGTAAGTGACCTCGGTAAACCCGTCTCCGTTTCTCCATACATAAACCTATAGCTGGATGAGATGTTCCCCAAGAACCTGTCCAGCTCTGTTAAGTGTGTTATCTATAATAGTAGCTTCGAAGAAGTCAGTTTGCCAGGGTTCAATCCTGACCTAAGAGTCGCTTGACCTTGAACTTGGTAATTAGTTGCCTTGCTGCCTCAGTCTCCCCACTTTAGAACAGTAGGTTAGTGTGATCATTCAGTAATACACGTCTATAACTAAGCACAGGGCCTGGTGCACAGCAAGCCCTTAATGAGCAAAAGGCAGTTATGGTGATGACGAGCTGAGTTACAAGAGGCAAACGCCAAATGCAAGGGCTGCGCGGGCTGAACTTCCAGGGCCCTCTCAGGCCCGAGGCATCCCTGGGGGGGATGGGAGCGCGGAGCCGGGGCTGCACACCCTGCACGCATGTGTCACCGGCCAGGCCCGGCACGCGCCTCTCCCCGCCCTGGGGAAAGAAGCGCTGGCTCAGCAGCCCAGGGCCCGCGGCCGCCCCTCTGGCCAGCCGGGAGCCTGGGGAGAGAAGAGGGCCCGAACCCCACTTACCATGCCGGCTGGGGAGGGGGTGGCTCAGGTAAGCTGGCTCTTGGGCTTCGGACACGTCCCGCTGGCACAGTTCAGGTCATGGTCCCGGCAGGCTCAGGAAGTCCCCCGCCCAGGCAAAGACAACCCCTTCCCTACCCGGGCCCCGCAGGGACCCTTTAAAAAGAGTACGGTCCCCGGGTCCGTTTCATCGGGGTCCGCCGGGACAATTCATCCAGACCCACCCGCCCCTCCCCAAAGAAACTGAAAAAGCAGGAAACAGAGCTTGGAAGCCGGCGAGGAGGGAGCGGCTCCCCCCCCCCCCCCCCCCCCCCACCCCCCCCCGGGGGGGATGGCCACTCCGCAATCCCTTCTCTACCATTCTCCTCTCAGGATCTTGGGCATGCACGCACAGGCATCCAGCCTGAGTTTCAGGTATCGCGTTCAGG